GATTCTGTGAACTCTGGTAGCAATCATTTTGTGTTTATGTATCCCTCTAAGAACATACTTCATCAGAAAAGAATGCCAGTTGGTGATCACTTTCTCCTTCGATGACAGACTGCAGAAACAAGTTGCAAAATTGAATCTGTTAGCTGGATTACATGGCTGCAAGGTGTGGATTTCTGTTGTTTTACGGGCTCTAAGCTGTGACAGTTTATTGCACATGACTTTGACACCTTGCTCTCTAGAGCTAGACATTTAAGTATTTTTTATTTTTTTTGTATTTTTCAAGTCTGGCTCCAGTGTCATATAACTTCTCCTCACTATGCACTGAACATTAATGTTTGTTTGTCTCTTAATAGTTTGTTGATCTATGTTTAGTCACCAAATTGTGAATTGTTTGTCTGCTGAGAGTTATTTCATCATGAAATTTATGTTGAAATCTTTGCTTACTGTTCCTTGCAGATCTGTACTTCACATACCCTTCATACAAAAATGCACGTTACTCTAAGTATAATACACTGCTCACTAGTTTACAACTGAGAACAAAATAGATAGTTGAGATGGTAACTGCCGTCCACTACTGACAAATCATAAATAGATTTCCCCGCATGAACTGCACTGCTCACTATGAAACGTAATGCCATGAAGTGGTTCTTAAAGTTAAGGACTTTCCTGTATATTTTAGCATTTATCTTGTTCAGGAGCACTTATTTATAGTTTTTCAGTTTACCTTTAGCCACTTAATATCTTGATGTTGGCTGGCATAATCATCCACTATTCACTGTACACTCTGCATTTTATCTTCTTGCACTCACAAACTTGCATTTTGTCACACTGGTTCATCATATATGAATGCTATACACAATACTAGCTTGCAGCAACCCCCTCTTTGCCTCACAACCAAAGTTTTATCAAGTTATATTTCTAGAATAGTTCACTCAGTGCAGTCATGAAAGACAAGGCACACTGACTTTGTGGAAGTTGTGAGAAGAGGGGGAGGTCAGAAGGCTTCAAGAGGTGTGTGCATGCTTCCATGTGACTCGGCTTTCCCCCCCTGCAATCAGTCTGCCGGTGTCTTTATTTCCTCATAATAATACTCTAATGAAAGAAATAGTGCTTTTACTGGACTGTGGCATGGTGTCTTTGTAAAGTGGACTCAATTGTATGATGTGAAAAGTTTAAAACATATGGAAACTATGGTATTAAACTGTTTTAATACAAATTAATGTAATATGAGAAGAAACAGTCTTTTACAAGATATGTTTTATAAAGTTGACTTTAGGGTCAGATTCCATCTTCTTCCCTTTCCTCTTCCTGCCTCTTTTCAGTAAAAAGTAGTTGGGGCTATTCCTGTTGGAAGCAGGAAACAAAATGTGTGTTAAATTTTTTCCTTTTCAGATAAAATGTGAGTCTTGTTATAAGCTTTATCTGCTGTATATGGAACAGGTATCCTCCAGTAATTTGTACTTCAGTATTTGAACATCAAAGTGTAAATGTTTTTAGATAGATTAAATTCATGTCATATATTTCAGATTAGTCCTGTTCATCCTTGCAGCTTGCATGTGCTTGAAGCTCAGCAGTTGATATTCTGCATGCAAGCATGTTCCAGTGTTAAATTCAAAGAAGTAGTCTTTCATTTTGGCACCTCTGCATTGTGATTTAAATAGTACTAATGAGCTGTGGGATTGTCGATGTTCTAAATGATAACCATGTGGAACATTTAACCTTGTGACAGCATGTAAATAATATTGTTTGCAGAAGGTGTCTTTTGCAAGTATTGTGTTTATGTCTCTTAGTGTGGTTACGATACAAGGTCTTTCTAAAATGATCAGATCACCTGACACTCTTACTGTCAGCTTTTTAGCAAAAACTTCTGCTGAGAGAAAGGCGTATGGTGTTGTGGCTAATATTCTGCACATAAACATACGAGGGGGGACCCAAAAATAACTGGAAACGACCTGTTGCGCGCGCATGCTTTGTAGTTACGAGTTGTGCTGCTAGGTGGTGTTAGCTGGGGGTCTCCCGCGACTCTTAGTGAGCTGGCGTCAGTCTGAGTTAAGTGGTTTGTCTGTGGTGCTCTGTTGTGTGCGTTCCTGTTTCAACCCTTTGGCGATTAGTGAGATGGCCGACCAGAAGGAACAAAGAGTGTGCGTGAAATTTTGCTTTCTGTTAGGGAAAACTGCACTTCACTCTTCAAGTCGTGGCAAACATTCACGCGGTTTTCTCTTTGGTCATCTCCGAGCAAGCGAGGAACAAATTTTGCAGACACCNCCCCAGCTAACACCACCTAGCAGCACAACTCGTAACTACAAAGCATGCGCGCGCAACAGGTCGTTTCCGGTTATTTTTGGGTCCCCCCTCGTAGATATGAGCCATTTTTGGCTCAGTGTTTCTCTGTGCATCCATTAGCTACTCTTTTTTTTTTTCATGGGATGACATATCACTGCCCTTCCCTCAATTATGATAGTCATGCATCACCCTATCATTTTAGTCACTTGTGTGTAGACTTCAGCGTGATTACATTCATGGAAATTCTGTTTCGACTATGCAGTGCCTTGTTCCAAAGTTCTCTGTCCAGAAGGCATGTGAGTGAGGTCTAATGAGGGGCTCTTGCTCTTTTTGTGCATGCGTCACAAGTTTAGTAAGGCAAGTTCTGGTTTGTTGATTACATGTATTTTTTCAGTTATTTTTGTGTTCAAAGGTTACATGTTTTGTGACTGGTTAGAGTTCATTAAGTCTGTTCTTGACTTGAATTAGTTGTATGCAAACCAAAGCCACACTGGGCTCATTTGTGTTGGGCAGTAGTTTGTTTTCTGTGTAACCTGGTTTTCTTGATGAGCATTGTTGTTCACAATTTTGTGCAACAGCTTACTCTCATAAGCCATAAGTAGCTCTTTTTAGCCCATGTAATTTTTCTTTATGTTACTTACTGTCACTTGTTCTTCCATTTTTTTGACTGGATATATGTAATTCTGTATCAGTATTATTCCACATTTGTGTTCTTGTGTTTTTTTTTTTTATGCTGTCTCATGAGTTCTCTTTTGTAGAATTAGCTCTCTCTCACATGCAATTATGTGCCTGCTTTGACCTGGTACAGCCTGGATATTCAGCTTCCCAGTTCTTTTTTTCGCTGCTGCTGCTATTATTGGTTTTATTATTTGCCACCAATTATCCACCTTTGGGAAGCATGAATATTGACAACAGTTTGGGAAGGATAGCTTGAGCCCTCCTGAATCTGCTCAACAAGGACAGCTCAGATATGCATATCTTTTCAATTCAATTCAATTTTATTTCATCCATGAATCATTATACATGATATGGGACAAGTCAAAGATTAATATTAATACTAATACTAAATAGTAATAAGAATATAATAATACAGAAATAGTATGCCAAATTATAATAAATAATAATAATAATAAATAATATAGTAATACAGAGATAATCATATGACAGTATAATTAGTCTTGAAAACAGTCTCTGTGGTCTTAAATCCTCCATATGTCCTATTGTACCTTTACTGGTGGTAATGCCTATGGAGATTTGATGGAATGAGGAAATCAATTGTTTTGAAGATCTCACTATCACTGTAGATGCTCAAAGTGTCTCCCTTCTGCATGTAGACAAACTTCAGGCGCCTCTAAAAGATTCTTTGACACTAGTTTGAGTTCACTGACTTTGATGGATGTAATTGTTTCAAAGATGTTGTACTTAAGTTTAACTGCTGTGTGGAGATTATTTGAATACACTTTGTCTTTTTTTTATGTTTCCCCACATAAAAATCACAGGGATTTAAGTCTGCATGTCACAATCCGAAAATTGTCATTCTGTCTTCAAACATATCTTTTAAAACACAAATGGATTAATGAGCAGTGTGTGCTATAGCACCAACTTATGTAAAATAACCATTTTTTTCTTCCTTAATGCTCTAAAAAAATAGCCGGTCACCGACATACTGCTCGGAATCAGTAGTCTGTTTAGAACCCTGGGTGCCACTATTCATGTAACAGCAAGGAACTTCAGAAATCTGCCGTAGATTAAATATTGTTCCACTGCATGTTGTTCTGAGGACTGATAGACCTCTCAGATGTAACCAAGGTTCCTCAGAAAAAAAAATGTGTTTTTTGTGAAAAACAGCATCATATATTGCCTGCAGAAACCAGCTACAAAACTGCCCTTCTGTTGTAATTACTTTCTTCATGTACTTGAACCCATCTAATTTTTTATGACAGTAGATGCAACTTCGTAGCCATTCCACACTATGTGAAACCTGTGCCCTTTGAGCTAACAGTGTTAGGGATTTGCAAGGTGAATTATTCTGATCTGATTCCAGTTTCATAAGCTTTTCCTTGGTTAGCACAGAATTCTGTCTAGTGTATTTCTTGTGTAAGGAAGACCCAGTTGAATACATTTTGTTCACCAATTCAGAATCATCGATGAAGCTGGAATTCAAACACCGGGATACTTGGTGGAAGCTCCTTTTACACTATTTATATGATTTGTTTTACATTAGTATCATATTAGAAATATTTGCTGTTCAAGTGCATATTTCACCATCTCAATTCAGCATTGTGAATGAGAGCACAAAACAGACTTCTGAATAATTTACAAGAACAGAAACACTAAGAGAAGTGATCTGTATTGGTCAGTCATTTACACATGCAGTGATAGCTGTACAAAATCAGCAGTAACATAAATTGTGTAATAATGCAGCCATTGATCTCTGCTTATTCATTTGTTGCATACATATTGTTCAGCTATGACTTTCATGTCTTTCTTACTGTCATTCGAAGAATACTATGTATGTAGTTTACTTCTGTGCTTATCATAGCATCTGTGATAGGTTAGTACTGATCAGCAACCTCGTTAACACCTTCTGTGTGACCTTATGTCTGTATTGTGTTAACAGAGTGAAAATGAGATAATGATGGGAACATTCTGAAGTGGAGTGGTCAGAATAATTGTACATTACTTAAATCATTCTATGTTTTTGTTGATGTTTGCAGGTTTTCTTCGACTTGATGCATAAAATTGCAGCACAGAAAGCTGCTGAAAACAGTGCAGAGGAAAAGGAAGATATGGCAACTAAAACTTGCTGTGAGATTCTGTAAAATAAAGTCAGCAACACAAAACAAAGTATGGAGGGGTGTGAAAGTGAGTGAAGATGTTGGCAACCCAACTCGTGCATTCATAATTGTACTTGTAAGAAGCAAGATAAAACCAGTATATTTAAATAAAAAGCTTTATATACTGATATTTAAAAGAATTTGGTAGTGTTTGAGAGATAGAGCAATCAATATTAACATTTTTTTTGTCAAAGACAATGAAGTTCATTTTGTTAGGTATAATTTATATATTTAAGTTAACTGCTTGGAATATGCCTCATTACACAGATTATTTCAAGGATGTATTTATGAGCTGGTAGAAGACTGATCAGTCACAGGCAACAAAATTTGTATATTTTGATCACCTTTCTTTCTCTCTACACTATTGCATTTCATCTTTTAATTTTTATCTGATAATTAAGCATTTAAAACTGAATTTACAATTAAACTTCAACATGAGAGTTTATGCCTCTTCCTCTCTCTCATTGTCATTATTTATGGTATACAGTGATGCATTTTGTCAGTGCAGCCACAACAAACCAACACTTTGCAGACTGAATGAAGAGTTATATTTTGATAGGTGACTGTACTTGTTGTATTATATACTGATGCTAGATGAACTCAGTAGTTATTAGAAAATTGGCCATAAATTGTCAGCAGCAGTGGTTCTCATGGCACGTCTTCATGATCAATTGAAAGTTTCTGCTTTTGCAGCAAATATCTGTGAACCTGTATTACCAAGTTATTACTGTGTGTTCTGTATATGGACTACTAACTTGTGCAAGTTTGTTGTACGGTTTTTGTTTCTGAGCATACTTTCTTATGCCTGATTGTTAAATATTGAGTACAATGTGGGTAGTACAGTTTTATCCATTTCATTTTTCAACATGTTTTCTAGATTTAATTTGTAGTAGCTCAGAATTTGTGACCTGTGTTCAGGGCCTGCAGCCAGTAGCAAGTTATTTGATAACAGATTGACTTCAATTAATTATAACCCTTATTTTGACCTGACACTGTCATTACACTATTACCAAGAATATCTCATATACAGGATATTACAGTGTTTGTGAGGCTAGACTCAATTTCAAAATCAGAACACAGTGCAGAATTTAATGAGATTGTAACTTATTACAAAAGACTTCACTCAGTCTGGAAATTAAAGTGAAAACAGAACTATCATTGAGAGGGCATTGCAACATTGCTGGAATTGTTTGCTTATTTAGGATGACTGTTCCATTTACATGGACATCACAACTGTATAAGTAATGATAATAATTAAAACAATCACTTCCTTAAACCATGACATAATAATAAGAACCTTTCAGTTAATGTTTGTAGCTATCCATAAGTGATATAAGCCAAGTACATACCACCAGCTCACAGTCTGCAGATAAGTCACATTTTGAAGAAGTGTTTCAAATCTCTTACATTTCCACATGTTACAGTTATATGTAATTGTAAGCTTGTATGGGTAATGAATACAACTTGGTCCTCATTATCATGTTTTTGTTGCTTCTGATGTGAGAATAGATTGAGAAGTATTTAATATGGTATTATAACTGACAGTGAAACAGAATGAAAATTTTAAAAACTGGGGCTATGAACAGTGTCCAAATTGTCAGTTAAAAATATTGTGCCCTTCTGTCAGAAACTTTGAGATTTAGCTTAATCATATTCACATGTGCAAAAGTACTGAAATCCTATTGTGTTATTAACACTGCTGTGCAAGATATGGAGGCATCTGTTGTTTAATTACCAAAAAATTGTTCAAATTAATTTTCAGTTTGAAGAAAGTCGTCTTCTGGGTTTAGGCGCCGTGTATTCTTCGTTTTGGCCGACGTTTCGGAGGAACATATCGCCTCCATCTTCAGAGCAGTTGAATGGCTTGGAATGCAGAGAGCAGTAGTAGAATACACGGCGCCTAAACCCAGAAGACGACTTTCTTCATAGTCATCGCCGTGAAAACCTCAAAAGTTACATAATTTTCAGTTTGTTGAAAATAAAAAAATTTGTCAGTACATCATTAATTAAATGAAATTGTAGAAGGCTTACAGTGGAATACTGAATTAAAACAGAAACTTAGTAGAATTAAAACAGGAGCTTAATATTGTGGTACCCATTTTTAGCAGAAATATCATTACTCATATTGTCTAAGTGAAAGCTGGGTGAGTAAGGGCTGCTGTTTCAGGAGAAAGGTGGTTATAGGAGTCAAACAAAAATTAATCTTTGTTTGGCCATGAAATAATACTGTATCCCACTACACAAGTCATATATTTCCTTTTATTTGCTCTGATATACATAATGTTTCTTGCTTACAGCACTGAGTTTATATTCTGTAATATGAATATATATCAATATATATAGTAACAGACAGAAGCACAGGCAACATAAACATATTCTGGGACACAGGGTGAGGTTATCATCATTTCCTATATCTCTGACCTACACTTGTATAATTGAAGTTGCATTGTTATCAGAACAGATTTAATCTGCCTGCTTGAGGGTTGGATTGTTTCTGTTCTGCTGTTACCTCTCATTCTGTCCAGCCATGCATCATATTGTGTCACATGTTTCCCTTCACCTTCTGTATCCTATGAAGTATTGTCCTCATAATGCACTGTCACTAGAGTTCCCAGCCTCTCAGTATCCACCTATTGTTTCCAGTTCATGGCTTCATCTGAGTGTATCGTGAGGCAGTTCTCTTGGTTACTGGACCTCTTGGAAGACGGATATATTCAAAATTCTGTTTGGATCCTGCTGTTTTATGCAGTGTGTGAAAATTAAGTTTGGTGTTGTTCAGCAAGACATTCTGACAGTGGGACCCTTTGCCATATTCTGTGTAATGTGTTCAAGATAAGCCTTATATTTACACATATGACAAAAGTATGGTGTGTGTCAGGGTTACTGTGTTTTTGGATTTGTCCATGATCCAGTATTCTAATGAACAAAACATTCTGGAAACTGGATCTGCTTCCATCCTCAGGTGAGGGGTAGGAGCACCTACTCTGTTGGGTCCATTAGGTAAAGCTAACCTCACTCACTATATAATCTATGGCAGTATAAATATAGCTACATGGACCTGAGATCAGGATTTGTCAGTGGGAGATAAGAGGAAACTTTATAGTAAAAATTGCTGAAGCTTATTATAATTCTGAATTACAGTTTATGGCTTCATTTCATATTTTTGTTACTTCTTGAGGGCATGCTTCTTGATTATTAAATTTTGTTTTTGAAAAGTTGTTCTTTTAATGTGCTATTGCTAAGTTGTGGGAAGGAGAGATTTGAGCCTGTTTTATGCTTTTTATTATTTGTGCTCTTGCATTTTTCTGAAGTGCATATTCTTGGACATTCCAGTACCACTTTGGGAGTAATGTAAACGCAACAGCAGGACCCGGAGAAATAAAAGTGGCACTGTCTGCCCATTGGGGTTGAAAGGAAAAGCAGACAGAGTTTGGAATCAGTTCCCATCATTTACATTGCAATGTGAAATTAGGTAAATGGAGGAAAATTCAATAAGAATAAATGGAGTCTAAAAATAACCATGCTGTTCATATTGTGGTCCAAAATTACGTAGTTAATTGCTGAAGGGAAAGAAAGTTGAGAATATGATGTGATTTTAGATATTTTCCCTGGACAGGTAATATCGGTAATTGATACTCTATTAAATAACCTGAGAAAAGCAATGCTTCTCATCCATAAGCTATTTTACAGGAAAAAAGAGGATTCTTCATTATCTCTTCTGGGGAAGCAGTTATTTTGCAACATTTTGTGATTGAGAGAACTGTAAATAGTAAATAGAATCAGTAAATCAGACAGTGATAAACAGTAATCTTGTTCTTGGTGTGTTACTGACATTTTATGAACCACATGTATTACATGGCATAAATTAGTTGCTATACTTGGGTCAGGGAAGGAATGAACTCGAGTGGTAGTAGTTTAAGTAGGGCACCTGTTCCCTAACACTGCCTTCATTGGACACCCATTGTGGACACCAATAACAAACTGAAATACATGGCTGGAGGTCAATAGTAGAAGTGACAGTTGGTGGTAGCTGCTAGCTGCTAAGCAGACAAGTTGAGATCAGTGTTCATACCTTCCATGACTTGTGCGGTAACTGTGCTTATGGATGTTTTATCAACATTGTTCATATAGCATCAGCCAGTCAATGATAGCCATAGTTGTAGAGAGAGTTACATAGGGTGCTATAAAAACTGTCTTTTTGTACATGAATGAAAATTGAAATGAGTTTGGGTTATTAATCTTAGCTGAATGAATGCAATGATATGACTTCTTCCTGTCAGGTTCTGAGAACATTCAAAAGCAGTGAAGAAACTAGAGAAAAAATACCAGAATTCAATTAGTCTCCTCCTATTCCTGTTGCTCCCACTTGGAGCATAGGGCATCCATGAAACGCTCATATCACCTAAGTTTCTTAATCTTAGACAGTCAGTAGGACTCCTTGGATGGGGATCAGCCCATGACAAGGCCCTACCTAACACGAACACATAATAAACGCAAACAGACATCTATGCCTTGAGTGGGATTTGAACCCATGATTCCATTGTTTGAGCAAGCGAAGAAATTTTATGCCTTAAACCACGTGACTACTGTGATCTCAGTTACAGTACTTAACAGATATTCAGTTATTTCAGACTTCCTACTTTTTCCACATATATGAGTGAAAAGTTTTGACACAACAAAAATGACATCTGTAGTGAATCTATGTGTACTGTGTATAGCTGTCCATATTTAGGTTATGTACTGTCAGCATAATACATTGTTTTTCTTGTTACAGAACATACATAAGACTGAATATGAAACTCGGTGTTGTTTGCAGACACAATTCAAATTAATGTAATACTAAAGATACTTCCACAATACTTCTAGATACAGTGAAATCCCATATTCAGTTAATATTTTTTGTGGATGTAACAGAAGCCCAATATAAACAATGTATTATTTTCCTATATGTAGTGAATTTCAGTTTAGCAAATAGGTGAGATTCAGTTGAAGTCAGCCTTCCAGAACTCATTCCCCAGTTTAGTGTTAGTGTGACAAAAATAAAATTCAGTGATCAATTCTCACTCTGCCAGAAATTGTTACTGCATAATCATAATCTTTGGCAAGTGTCATATTGAAAGCACACCAAAGACGTGTGACTTGTGGTTTCATAGTTGCTTTGATTCCAACTGAGGTTCTTTCAGTTTTTATTCCTTATGTTAACTATTTTAGAAGTTAATTTTTATTAGTATGTATTTACTTATGCATAAACAGTTTAATTTTATCATTATATACAGTAGTCATAAGTGATATCTTAATGTAATTTTACCTAGCTATTTAGCAAAAACCTTGATTTAATATAAGAAAAGCCATATACCTGAAGAGGTTCATTACACAGAGATTTCAATGTAAAAGAAATATTAGACACGTCTTATGTTTCCTTTGTCTTCCAGTTGTTTTGTGAGTGAGTGGTATTTCCAGTCTAGAGCAAAGAGCCTTGTTTCCCAGCACATTGGAATCTGTGTGTTGGAATTGTCCCACATTTTTTTAATCTTCTTTCTCAGGGATTTAAATTTGGCTGGATTGTGTTATATCCCTTTGCTGCAACTGCCACTGTCTGTAGTCACCCTTGAGTCCGAAGAATATAAATGAAAAAGAATAAGAAATATGTTGTAGATAGAAATATTTGTAAACTCGTGTTAATTTCTTCCAGAATTGCTGGGTTTTTGGACTTTGTCCATAGTCCAGTATTCTGAAAAAAGTAAACACATTTCAGAAACAGATCCAGTTTGCAAAGCAATGTGTTTTCTAGTTTTTAGAACACTGGTCGATGAAGTCCAAAAATCCAGTAATTTTGAGTGTTACACATCAACCTTACCGCCATCTTTGAGCCGATTGTCTAGATAATGTGGGACCCTCAACATCTCACAACCCTATGGGCCTTCATGGCCTGTTACAGGGATAGCTCTACTTTTACACATCATCAGAACCCTTTAGAATCTTCATGTTTATTTGTTACATTCATTTCTTCATGTTCTGTATTTTTGCATCTCTTTTTATTTACTTCGCACAGCTGTTGTATCTTATAGTAAAACAATTATCCTGTGCTTTAACTACTGTTTAATTTCAGTAAAGGTATATTCTAAAGATGAGCTATAGAAACATACTGGCAGTTTACATTAATTATGTATGGTGTGAATCTCCCCCAAGCTTATTTTCTTGTCATATCCAACATAATCCTTAATCAGTTATGGTTACAGTATTGAGAACTGGTATAGAGGAACTGCTGTCTTGCAAGGCATAAATGGGATTTATGCATTTTGTGCCTCCTCAAATGAAAATCATGCACAATTATACTGTAAATGGCATTTGCTCTTAAGTGATAAGAATGTGAAGGAATGGTGTGAGATATGAGGTTCTCACAACAGTGACTATTAACATACAGTCTTCTGGGATATAATGCCATGGGGTTGACTCTTGTCATTTCATTATAGCCTTTTCGAGGACAATTGTTTCCTACTGTTTCCCATCTTCTCCTCTACATCTCTTCTATTTCATATTTTTTGTCCTTCCATGTTTAACCATTCGCCTTCCTCTTCCACTTCATAATTTATTCCCTTTCATGTTTTCCCTTTGCAGGCCCACTGGTTCCCATTGACTCACTTGCAACCCCAGTGTCTGTATCATCTTGTCCCCTGCTGGCTTACTCTTCTACTCTAAAGATGGAGCCAGCAGGTTTCTCTGAAATGTTGCTGCATATCTACCAAAGTATGATATCTGAAAAGATCGTAATCTTAG